TACACCCGATGATTAATGTTAATACGATTTGTGATCGGCATGAGTAGAAATAAACAGGGTTGTTACCTTGAATGCCTTGATCGAGGGGTTGTAGCAAAACGACCAATGGAGTGGCCCTAGTTGTAGCCAATTTGGACTTGGAAGTGATGGTCTTGGCACGGGTCTTACGGTGAGTCAAAGCGCTAAGGTGGGGCGTTGTAGCCGATCGGTGATATCGGAAACAGTCGAAGATCGAAGGGTTTCCACTTTTGCTCATAGATGGTCTTTGGGTTGTTAAACATCACGAGAAAGTTAGTTACCGATATATGAAAGGAAAAAGCGAAGGGAGTTAAAAGAAACTTACTACGTCGCATCGGAATGGCGTATTCGGGTCGATCATGTGCCGATATGTGTGAGCAGATGTTGCAAATAGTTGTTCCCTCCACTCTCGCCACCATTGCTTATATGATTCGGTGATGAAAGATCTTTGGCGCCCGGATGGATATATCGACATCCGTAGTATCGGCATCGGGGAGAGTCGCACTACCCTGCTCCAATACATTTCGCGGTGATTGTTTCTCTGGGTTTGATCACATCGGCAAAACAAAGTTTGATTGGCAGTTGCCCAAAAGCCAATTGACGGGATACTGTCGATGGATTGTAAAATTCATACGTGATATTGGTGTTTTTCCCGCTACCGAATGTGTTTACTGGGATTGCCCTGGGAGTAATGATGGCCATCATGAGTTCATTATCTTGATTCAGAGTGTCATCGGCAAAATTGAAAAGAAGGGGGAATCTATTTTCTTTGTCAATATAAGGTACCCAGGCCCTATGATCACGAGAAATACCATTGTAGAAGCTTTGGAAGAATCTGTCGATCTGGTCTTCATTGGCCTCTGTTCTAGGGAGAACAATTATGGCTTCACCAAAATTGAGGGGTGAGCGTGTTGCTGATTCCTCATCCCCAAGCACGTGGTTTTCAGTAATTTCTCATGGGAATTGTTGGGCAAAGAAGTCCCATTGCAGATGTTTGTGCATATGGGCATTCAGCCACATGTTGATAAACCACCACGGGCCTCCTAAGTTGCCGATGGGTTCGCTAAGCAAAAGTTTCTGAGACACTTGATGAAGAAGATGATAAGTGGAGCTCAGAAGGTATCGGCCAAGAGGGAACCTTACATCATTGGCCAAGAGTTCACCATGAGGAGGAAGGCGTTGGTTGGTCCCCTCTTGATCGACCACGAGAAGATAAATTTTTCTAACCACATATTCAAGAATATGGCATGTTCCGTCTGGTTAACTGTCGCGGTCCTCTAGCATTCTTGAATATATCCTGTCCAACCGCCGATGTTGCAGGTATTCACCCTATATTCAGATTTTCTGCCATAGATGGAGCCTTCATCGGCAGTTGAAATGTCCAAGCCAGTGAGCATGTAGACATCGGCAAGTGTGGGAGTAGCTGGGCCATGTCCAAACATAAAAGTGTTTGTTGTGTCTGACCAGAAGTAAGCATCTGCAATCATCATTGACTCGTTCTTTTGCATATCGGCAATGGATAGCCTAATGCATTGGTCTAGCTTCCGTTCTGCCCAGTGTGCTTGCATCGACCTGTTGACCCTCAAGTACCAATCTTTCCACCCTTTGGTGGTTTTGGGCCAAGATCGGAATGTATCTTTCCATAAATTCAGAGAGAAATTTTGGGCTCTAAAAGGGATTCTGTTAACCTCTGCATTAATCAGATCAGTTGGATCTAGGTTGCCCATTGGTCCTAGGCATTGGAAATGCGGCTGATCGGTTGGAATAACTAATTTGTTGCGAAGTTCCTAAGTTTAGAGGATCCGAAGAACAAAGAAAAAGAGAAAAATTACCAACTGTATGAACTCGCAAAGACCAGAGGAATCGAGGTAAAAAGTAACGGAAGTGGAACGAACCGCAGGGACGTCGAAGTTGATTGCCATTATCTTGAGGTAGATGGGGGCACGAGCTGGAGACTCGAGGTTGACGCTGGAGAAAAGTTCTTGTTGGTTGAGGTCGCGCAGTTGTTCGTCGGAGTCACCGCCGGAAAGAGAGAATGCCAAAGATTGGAGTCTGAGGGTAGAAGATGAGCGTTCCGGAGAAATCTATTTATAAGCCGCTTGGAGTAGGGGTATTCTGGACTTATCTCTATGCCGCGCGCATGTGGGTCGAGGTGGTTCAGATGGATATGGTAACTGTTCGCATGATAATTAAGGGATTGTACAGATGATTTGATGGCAAGTAATCATGACTTGGAAGAGATCTCGGTACATGATATTTTAATTCTGAAAATGGCGGCATTATTATGTTAGGATCTTGCCGATGGATTATTGTTTCGGTATCTTAACCATAATCAGGGCAAGAGTGGTTGGAAATTGTGCGATATTTACTGAGGTGCGTGAATCAAGACTAGATTTGATTAGATTTGATAACAGATTAAGTTTTGGCTTGGAGGATGAGTTACGGTAATTGGGTGAAGGCAAACGTTATATGGAGTAAATTTCGGAGCATTAATGGTTTTATAGTCCGAAATTGGGGGGCATGTGTTGACACCATTGTTTGCACGTGTCAAAATGATCAGAGTGGGCTAATCGGCAGGAGGAAAGTTACTGTATACGCTGACAGCCGATGAAAATCAGCTTGTAAAGATGGTTGCCGATGAATGGTGGTGATCGATGGAAAGGTTGATTTAGACTCGGGTGTTGCCGATAAGGTTGGAGATGTTAGTATCGATGCCGATGAAGGAAGGCTTAAAAACTACTGCCGATGAAACAGGAAGTATGCCGATGGAAAGGAGGTCGGTGAGAATTCCATCGTAATTGAGGTGGACAGGGAAATAGATAGGAGTTGATTTCCTTTTCTATATTTGTTAGAGTATGATTCATGTAAGAGTCACGTGTTTCCTTAGATATGGACTTGGTGTTCTAGTCGTATTTGGTTATGTCTCTTTAGATCAGGGTATAAATATAGATTGAGGGGCAATGTAATATAAAAGAATCAATATCAAAACCAATTTTTACTCCTATTTGCATCTACTTACTTTTCGGCGACTTCGTCAATTTGCATATTTTTTTTTCTTTTTACGAGTTCTCATTGATTCGGCGAGTTGCATCGCTTCAGTGCGACCTTCGGCGATTCTCGAGTTCCGCGTGAGTACCTCTTGGCCGTGACTTCCGGGCGTATCGCTGTTGTCAGGACCAAAGTGCTCGTATCTTCATCCTTGTCGATTAACAGGTCAAATCGACTGGCACGCTTTGGACATCGATTCGGGTATTAGCCCTTTGTGTTTGCAGATCCACTTTTACATCAACACCAACAAACCATAAAGCTTATCATATCATTTGGAGTCGGAAAATTATTCCCACTAGTCGAGTAAGTCTTGCGAATACATTATGTACTCAGAATTTATTTACCCCTGTTGCAGGTTCAGCTTGAGGAGTAGCTGTTGTGTGGAGGATTCTTCTGGTGGGCATAAATGGATCCTTGTATCTTATCGTTAGACGTTTATTTTAATTCCGCTATTTAAATTTCGCACTCTGAACTTAGTATTGTAATAATATATTTCTGAGAACTCTTGTTGTATGAAATTGACTAAGTATTATAAACTTATTCTCATTATTGGATCCTGAAGGAAAAACATGGATTGTTCGAGTTCTCACTTGGGGTGTGCTCGACGGAACCGTCCGATATAGCTTGTTTTCAGGATGCTTAGTGTCTGATGGAAGACGAGTGCCTCCAAAGATGTGTTATTTCGGACGGTTCTGTCACAGTAGCCCGTCAAGCAGATATGTGGAAACGATAATGGTTGACGTCCGTCCGGACGCGTCTCCAAGATGCATAATGGACTGGCCCAATGACCCTCTCAAATCCCCTTGTCCGTTTCTCTAATAAAAAAATATGCTCGTGACTCTTATTCGCTCGTTGCTCCTATCCGCTTGTTGCTCCTATTCACTTGCTTGTCGTCGGCCTGCCAGGCGCGGCACGCGGTCGCCTCTGAGCCACGGTTGCCCTCTGCCGCGTCGCGTGGCTGATGCTTCCCTACCGCCTTACATAGCTGCTGTCGTCGGGGCGCTGCCTCCGGCGAACTTCACACGCCGATGAGCCTCCATTCTTCCAAGCAGCAAGGAGATGTTGCGATGTGCTAAAAATGCATGTTGCAAACGTGTGTTTTAGGTATTTCATAAGTATGTTGCAATTATTTTATACGGATGTTATAAAAGTAGATCGAGATGTTGCATACGTTGCAATGGTTGTACACGTACGTTGCAAATGTCTGTTTCCAATATTTCGTCTATGTTTTCGGATGTACGTTGCAAGTGTGTTTTATCTGGATGTTGCATAAGTTTCACATATATGTTGCAAGTGTTTATGTGGATATTATGTATGTTTTGCAATGGTTTTCACGTGTTTTTATGTGTTTTATGCAAGTGTTTCATAAGCATGTTTCAAGTGTTTCATCTGTCTTTAGACATATATTGCAAGTGTTGTATCTCGATGTTTCAAAAGTAAATCGGATGTTGCATCTCCATCATTGTCTTTTCTGTTGCCTTGCCTCGGTGTCTTCTCCTCCTATGAGTGCCGGCTAGGCATCTGTCGCTCCCTGCTGCTCTTTCCGACGCTGGTGACGTTCGGGGACGGCGCAGGAAACTTACACCGGAAGCGGATAGGAGGGCGCAAGCAATCCCCTTGTGACATGCGCCTGCCAAAAGCGGAGAGGGCGTGGGTGGGAAACGGGATGGGGCTCGGAGAGGCGCAAAGTGGCGCGGACGCGCGTGAATGAAGCAGCAAGCACCGCCGGTGTCCAGGCGCGAACGTCTTCGCGCTAGTAAGGCCCGATTGGACTAGATTGAATTTGATTTTTTGAAAATAAGTCTACATTTTTTTTGAAAGAAAAAACTACGGATACCGAAGAACCGAATTGTAGGTCGCCTTGGAAATCCTCCAAACAGGCATTCTTGAGGGCGGTCACCGACCGTCGTCGGCCGAGCTCAAACTCAAAAACGATGCCCTCTCCCTCCCGCCACCAGCGCCTGGCCTCGCTGACGAAGCTGCTGACCACCCACGTGAACGCCGGCCGCCACCGCGACGCGCTCGGCCTCTTCTCCCGCATGCTCTCCGCCCCCGACCTCCCGCCGCTCACCGACCCCTCCTTCGCCCACGCCTTCCCGCTCGCGCTCAAGTCCGCCACCGCGCTCCGTGTGCCCGGCGCCGCCGCGTCCTTCCACGCGCTCGCCGCCAAGTGCGGCCTCTTTTCCAGCCCCTTCCTCGCCTCCGCGCTCATCGCGTCCTACGGCGCACGCGTCGTCGGCAGTGCTGGCGGCGCCGACTACAAACTCACCCGCCGCCTGTTCGACGAATTGCCCGCCCGCAACGCCGTCGTCTGGAGCGCCATGATCTCCGTCCACGTCCGGGCGGGCGACCTCGCCGCTGCGGCGTGGGCGCTTGACCACATGGACGTCGCCCCGACCGCCTCCTGCTTCAATACCGTGATCGCCGCGGTCGCCGAGTCCAGGGAACACCCAACCCGAGCCATCGAGGTCTACCGACACATGCGAAGAGTGGGCGTCCCACCGAGCTTCATCACTTTGCTGGCGCTCGTCCCCTCTTGCACCGCAATGGGCGCATTGACGTCGATCAAGGAGGTGCATAGCTTTGCAGTGCGGCATGGCATGTGCCCGAGATCCCTCGTTGGTAGCTCCCTCATCGAAGCATATGGGCGCTGTGGTTCTCTTGCTGCCACGCAGAGGGTCTTCAACCAGGTTCATGATCGGGATGTGGTTGTTTGGAGCTCTCTGGTTTCAGCTTACGCTTTCCATGGTCGTGCCGAGGTCGCAATGTCACTTTTCCAACACATGGAGGACCAGGATGATGTTCGGCCTGACAGCATCATGTTCCTTAGTTTGTTGGCGGCCTGCGCCCATTCTGGCCGTGCAGATGACGCATTGCAGTATTTCGATGTGTTGACCAGGAGATATGGAGTGGAAGCTTGTGGAGATCATTATTCGTGCATGGTAGACGTCTTGGGCCGGGCAGGACGGCTGCATCAAGCTTATGAACTTATACGAACAATGCCAGTAAAGGTTACAGCAAAAGCCTGGGGATCTCTTCTTGCTGCATGCAGGAAACATGGGGATGTGCGGTTGGCAGAGGTTGCCGGGAGAGCATTGTTTGAGATTGAACCAGAGAATGCAGGAAATTTTGTTTCGCTCGCAAACATCTATTCAGGCCGTGGCATGCATGAGGATGCAGAGCGGGTGAGAAGGGAGATGGAGCAGCGAGGTGTGCAGAGACTGCCTGGTAGCAGTTGGATGATACATCACAAGTCATGTTGTTAATGCAATGTCCAATAATTTTTTTCAGCCCTAGTGGTTCGTTGTTTGACTTCCCGATTAGGATAGGACTACATCAAGGGTCAGCTTTGAGCCCTTATCTGTTTGCCTTAGTGATGGATGAGGTCACAAGGGACATACAATGGAATATCCCTTGGTGTATGCTTTTCGCGGACAATGTAGTGCTAGTTGATGAAAGCCGGACAGGAGTGAATCAGAAACTGGAGTTATGGCGGGAGACTTTGGAGTCCAAAGGTTTTAGACTCAGTAGAACTAAAACTGAGTATATGAGATGTGACTTCGGCACTACTACTTGGGAGGAGGAAGATATTAGTTTGGAAGGTCAAGTAGTGCCTAGGAAGGATACCTTTCGATATTTAGGTTCAATGCTACAGAGAGACGAGGATATTGATGAAGATGTTAGCCAATCAAAGCAGGGTGGATGAAGTGGCGCCAAGCATTTGGTGTCCTATGTGACAAAAGGGTACCACATAAGTTAAAAGGCAAGTTTTATAGGACGACGATTAGACCTGTTATGTTGTATGGTGCAGAATGTTGGCCTACGAAAAGACGACATGTTCAACAGATAAGTGTCGCGGAAATGCGTATGTTGCGTTGGATTTGCGGTCATACAAGAATGGATCGAGTTCGGAACGATGATATACGTGATAGATTAGGGGTAGCACCAATTGAAGAAAAGCTTGTCCAACACCGATTGAGATGGTTTGGACATGTCCAACGGAGCCTCCAGAGGCACCGGTGCGTAGTGGAATCCTAAGCCAGGATAGTAACGTGAAGAGAGACAGAGGAAGACCGAAGTTGACTTGGGTAGATGCAATAAAAGGAGACTTGAAAGGATGGAATATACCCAAAGACTTAGCCTTAGATAGGAGTGCTTGGAAAACAGCTATTCACGTGCCTGAACCTTGATTGTTTCTGCTGGGTTTCAACTCTAGCTTACCCCAACTTGTTTGGGACTTAAAGGCTTTGTGATTGTTGTAGTGGTTCGTTGTTCATGCCGGCCAAGCTATGGTTTTAGCTGCTTTGCTATAAAAGTATAAAGGTCACTGACTGTTTAGTTTTATACTTTTATGCTGTGATCTTTTAAGAAAAATCAGGCATACAATTCAGAAGTGTCATCGTTGGTTCACATCAAATTTTGTTCAGATGCAGTGGCCATTTATCCATGGAAAGGTAACGGGAAAAAACATCCTTTTTTTTTTTAGCATTTAGGAAAATTGAACATCTAACTTGACTAGGGTAATAACTCCAAACATACCAGAAAGGTGCTGTATGCAGCATATGGCATTACTGTAAAAACTTTTACCTGACTGTAAATGCAGTTGAAACATTTATGTGGTGTTATATTAACCTTAGTATGTGAATCCTGCAGAATCATGAAGTTCTCTTCTGGCATTGGGGTGAATCAGGTGTACACGTACCATCCTCCGTGACTTTTTGGAGGCCCTGGATCAATCTAAATTCCTTGGCTCTTGTTTCAAGACATTAGTGCTCTCTCCATTTTTTATGTCAAAAGATTCATAGGTTTGTTACTAATTGTTGACAACAACCATGCTAAACAGTTAAAGCATACATGGAACTAAGTTGAGACTGATACTAAGTGTCAACTCCGAAAGTTTATTTTTCTCAAACACACATGAGAGCTGTGTATCATTATATTAAGAAGAAAGGAGGGGGCAAAAGCCCAAATACAAACACCCACACACCCCAAGAAGAGAAAACTAGAAAAGACCTCACCCTTAGGAAAAACAAAAGCGACGTCAACTTGGACACGGGAGCCACCTTATTCAAAGAAGTTAACTTTATACCATCTTACACACATTTCTTATGTCATTTTTCAATCTGATATGGCATGAAATATTCTTGAAATGCAAGTGTGAGTATTATCTTCATCAGCCAAAAGACTCTGTTCTGTGATAGTAATCAGTCTATTTCCTTTCTGGTAACATCATTTCCCATCAGCACACATGGTAAGTTGGTAAAACATTTCAAAGAACAGTAGAGGCTATAGTGCTGTTGGCAGTGCACTTAGCTTTAAATCTGTGTATGTGTTGGTTTCCACAATCCACATTACAATCAGTAGGCGTTAATTTTACTGACCCAATTTGGCCAACTGCTGGAAAATCCATGAATGTTTCTACAAGCATCCTTTTCTACATCATGATCAGTCGGCATATGCTTTGCTGCCCTATTTAGTCGACATATCCTTTGCTGCCCTATTCAGTCGACAGATAGAAAGGCACTGAGATTAATATTTAGGCTTGCCCACTGAATTTGTTGGTTCCTTATGCTGTCTAAAATATATTTTATTGGGTCAGTTTTGATGGACTGGGGAGCTACCTTTAGCTTTGTAATGGAATTTCTTCTACCTTTAGCTGTTAGTGCATAGCGATATGATGCTAACTTTCACACATCTTTACCAAAAGCATGGTCAGTTACAAAAATGACAAAAATATATGGCTAGTCAAAGTTGGTGCATTAAGCAAGATCCTTAATATCTTTCCTGTTATCTTTCATTCATGTTATCTAGTGTTTGAAATAAATTATTGAAGAGTACGCTCTCACATAACTCCTGCATTAGTGATGTTGGTATGTGTCTGAGGTGTGAAAATAGCAAGATAATTTTTATATGCATATTGTATGCTTTTTATATGGCTAGTCAAAGTTGGCGCATTAAGCAAGATCCTTAATATCTTTCCTGTTATCTTTCATCCATGTTATCTAGTGTTTAAAATAAATTATTGAAGAGTACGCTCTCACATAACTCCTACATTAGTGATGTTGGTATGTGTCTGAGGTGTGAAAATAGCAAGATATTTTTTATATGCATATTGTATGCTTTTGGAAAAGGATGTGAGGTATTATTTTTTCCCAATCACTATCCCAGGCCCTGGGATCAATACCAAGCACCTGAACCCATAAGTAGTTGGATGTTGATTCAAGGTCAGTGACTATTTCTTAAGCACTTGAATGAGAGCAAATAATGCTTGAAAAAAAAGGTTCTTATACTTTTAACATCTATAGATTATGCTAATACTTTGTATACTGCAGCCGGCCTGGTGCAGTGGTGAGAGCTGTCTCACTGAGTCACCAGGTCATGGGTTCGAAGCAGTCTCTCTGCAGATTTTGCGGGGGAAAGGCTTGTCTCGGTTTATCCCTTCCCCAGACCCCACTCATGTGGGAGCCTCCGGCACTGGGTCTGCCCCCCTTTTGTATACTGCAGCCCATCCATTATAGTATAAAATTGTTTTACCATTTATATATCTGCTCATATTTTTCTTCATGTTTATGACAATCATTTTCACTATCCTATGTGCTGGTTATAGCTTGAAAGTTTGAGAAGTCTTTATGATCTGGACAAACTTATATCAAACTATTATTTAATGATTCAATATTTCAACTGGATGAGATGATTCAGTATTCATTGAGAAAAAAAATACTGGTGTGAACTTTTTTGGTAGCTTCAGTTAAGAAAAACCCACGAGTAGTAACATCAGGTATTAGGATTCTTATGAAATAAATAAAATTAAGTAGCATGGCTGTTGACGCACTAATTGGGATGGTACATTAATTTATCTGTACTTTTATGTGAGAACTTAGAAGCTAATAGGTGTTTGCCAATGTCGATTGCTCTTAGCCTTGATTTGTATTGAGTGATATGAATCATATGGATTCTGTAGTTACCTGGAAGGACACTTACCTAACATCCTATGGAGTCCCTCTCACATAGCTCTGCTGTAGCATTGTAGGTGGGCCAGTGTGGATCACTATTGTTTGTGGTGCTAGGCCCCATTTCAAGCAGCTTATTGGCTGATGTGTAAGTGATTCTATCAACCTAATTTCTCCAACAGTTCTTGTTTACCTAGTGCACTGGAAAACCTGAGATTGTTCTTATTTGTCTTGTCCACATGAATTTGTTGTATTTAGCTTTATAAATTGGATCGAGATCTTCATCGTACACGTGCCCTGATAATGCTGTGGGCCACCTTTTTTTTTCTTTGCTACTGGACAACATTCTAGGCCTTATAAATTGTGGTCCTCTAAATTTCGATCATTAAATTCGCCTGTTTCGATCAGTACTTTTTCTGCACCAAAATCCTTGATTTGCTTCAAATATATGGAGAGTGCAACTTTGCTGATTCCATATACTCGGTCATGAACCATTGAACATCGAGTAGCTCATTGAGCCACTGACGTGCATGTAAATCCAACTGGCAGGAAGCAGTGTGTTGATAAAAGGGGTTTATATCAGCTGTTATTTAGCATGTGGGAGCCTGAGTGGGAAACAGGTGTATCAGATTTGCTCATGCAGGTCATCTTTCATGAACAGTTGAGCATAGCTTAAAAGCTTATCACTGTGCTTCTGAAAGCGAAACATTCTTGGTGTGCCCTTTTTTGGGATGAAATGGTACAGCCGTACAGCCTAAGAAAAAAAATGCTTTGTGCTGAACTGCTTGAAGTACTTTAGTATGCGTTTTTATTTTATTACTGCTCCTTTGCTTCACTTGTAGAATTCTAAAACTGTCTAAGTCTTTCATTTGCCTTCCTTACTTAGGCATAGCTTCTAGGCTTGGTAAGGTAATAGCTAGCAGGCACATTTGTTTTCTAAGATCAGCAGACACATTTTCTTGATAACTTTGCATATGAGCCATCCGTACACTTGTGTGGATTGCGTCAAGGATACTCAAGTTGATAGCCTTTATCTTTCGAAAAGCATGTACTTTTCAAAAGGGTAATGATGATGCACACTAGATAAAGTGCTTCGTGTTCATCTATTCTGTTCTGCACCCTTTGCACGGTGTATTTTGTATTGTATGCCAACTTGTGTTAAATTGATCAATGATTGAGATAGCTAACCTGTTTTGGTCCACAAATTCATTCTGAACCCATTATTATTGAGTAAAATTTGTTAGTTCCTGTAGGAGAAATAGAATTGGTAGAATTGGATATTGTATTGCTGAGCCTCGTGGGCAGATTATATAGGAGTACGTTAGGGGTCAAGTAGCCTCCATTAGAGATACGGTAGGCCGGGATTACAAACAGTCCTAATATACCATATCTGGAGATATCTCTATATACTCTAATGGTTCCCCTTCAAAGAAAATAGCATATCTTTTGATGCTACATCCCTTAAAGCTCTGTAAAGTTTCTGTTTTATTACCTCATAAAACCCATATACGGAGCCTTATATTCCCACTTCACCAGACAGAACCTGCTACCCTTTTCCATTCTTATGCTACAGCTTTTCCATTCTTAAGCTACAGCTCTTTGGTACAATGGTATTGAATCCATCCTTTTCTTTGATACCTAATAAACATATCCTTGGGGACATACCTGAAACTTCTATCCAGCAGCCTGTTCGTTTGGTTGGTTCGTATCGTTGCTGGTTCGTGAAGAAGTACTGCTGGCTGGTTTGTGTGAGAGAAAAATACTGTTCCGGCTGAAAATTTACGATCGTTTACGACAAGCCACAGCCAAACGAACATGTTTGTGAATGCGCCACCTCCTTGGTAACTTTCTTGCCACCCTTCGAAAGTGTATTCCATATAATTTAACGAATTAACGGCTTCTTTTTCTTGGAAAAGACAGACAGTGAGATGAGCGTCAAGCAAGCACTACTACCAGCAGATGCATGTACCACGGATGGTTCCGCCTACCTTACCGTGCACGTCAGTCCACTTCTCATCATCCTCTGTACGTGCAAGTGCAGCTCCACTAGTTACCTTCCAAGTATATATACCAAGCCTCCTGACCTTGGAAGTCAGGGGCTCTTATAACCAGATAAGCAGAAGGCAGGTGATGCAAATGACCCGGCTGGAAGACCTGACACCTGCTCCATCCATGACGTTGCCCATTGAGCATTCCTCAAGGCCGACCCTGGGGTTTCCCCTGGGGACTGCTCTCCTGCTCCTTGTGATCTTTGCCCTGAGTGGCATGTTCTCATGCTGCTACCACTGGGACAAGCTCCGCCCCCTCCTCTGGTCTCGGCATCCTGCCTTGTTCGAGGAGAGCGAGCACACGGCCATCTCCATCGCGTCATCACCGAGCAAGACGACTTCTGATCACAAGGTAAACTTCCGACCGATGCACACACCTCATCCTAACATGTTTCTGAATACCCGAAAGATCATCACTGTTGCAAACTTGAGCTGAGAATCATATCTGCATCCTGTTTGCAGCTGGAGAAAGTGGGGAAAGAGTGCGGTCTGCCCGTTATTATGCCTGGGGACAAGGTTCCCAAGTTCTTCGCGAGGCCCTGCCCTCACGAGACGTGTTTGCCTGAGGCACAGAAGGCTGAAGTTCCGTTGGAAACCAAGTGTTTGGATCATGAACCGTCTGTTAGTATCTGTATACATGAAAGCACAGTTAGCTGTTAGCGATTTATGATTGGCGGATTGAGTGTATATATGCTTGTTGGAAATTTGCAACCTTGCCTGCTGCCGACTGGGTGCCTAGGTAGCCATCCAATATTGCAGCAGGGGTGGTATTTGTCGGTGCCGTGCAGCTATGTTTTTAATACCGGAACCTAACGCATTACCGGGGGCTAAAAGCAAAGCAGGGCAGAGGCACTATCACCAAGTGCTCTAAACCGGCCAGGATTCTCATTCACCATCAGCATCACCAAGTGTGAGCAGAATGCAACGTGCGTATGACTCCAGCTGTTTACTTTTGACATGGCCACTATCGGCAGTTCTTGTGTACTACACCAGCATAGCATGCAGTACGTGGAAAATCTAAAAAATGCCTAGGACGATCATGAATGAAGCCAAAAAAAAAAAGATGCATTGACATGCACCGAGGGTTGGAGCTGGAGCCAGAGGCAGGGGACAGCGGCCTAACATCTATCGTAAACAAGGACTGCCACTGAATCCGTGTCTCCGATGGCGGCCCGGCCCCGGCCGGCGGGATAGAAAAGCGATGGGCTGGGCCAGCCGCCCAGCGTCAGGAGCACCAGGACGAGTGGACGACGGCTGGCTGGGGCTAAGGCTGACCGCACCGCAGAGCGCTAAAGCGGCCGGTACGCCAGCGGTAGCGTACCGCGCGCCTGCAAAGGCCCCGCAAGCGTACCGGCTGCACAGGAACCCGCCACAGACCGCGCACGCGCGAGAGCCACGCTAAACACTGTAGCTAGCAGAGAGAGTGTGTGTGTGTGTTAGGGAGAGAGAGAAAGGGGAGGGGAATAAAATATGGAATAGTGGATATAGAGTATGGGATATAGATAATATAGATGTAAAAGAAATAGGTATAGAGTAGAGAATCTCGATAACTAAGATAAAATATTCTTTTTTAAGATGAAAATAGAGGTCGACAAGTACGGATAACCTAACGCTGTAATGCAGGTGCAGCAGGCACGGGGCACATACAACAGCAGCTCGTGTCGCTCGTCCCTGCTGGTTGCTTGTCAGTTGTCAGCCTGTGACGTGAGTGTCCTTGGTCCAGCATTTTTTTTTTGACAAAGGAACAGAATCCGGCTTTATACCCTTACAACTAACGCCATGTTTAGTTGCACCCAAAATACTAATTTTTTCAAAATTTCTCGTCACATCGAATCTTTGACGCATGCATGAAGCATTAAATATAAGTAAAAAAACTAATTACACAGTTTAGACGAAATCTACGAGACGAATCTTTTAAGCCTAATTAGACTATGATTGAACACTAATTGTCAAATAACAATGGAAACGCTACAGTAGCATTTTGCCAAAAATTTTAGCATCCAAACTGACTCTAAAGAAATCAGACAACTTTGTTACAGATGTTTAACATAAGACAACACATGTCCAACTTAAAACTCGACTCTAACGTTATTTGGCTCTCCAAATGAAGCAAAGGAATTCATATATAAATAAACACGCTTTCAACATGCGTCTGAAAAAACGGGTGGAACATTGGGAACGGACGCTTGCAATATACGTGTACAAAATATTACAACATATGCAACATCCCGATCTATTTTCGCAACATCCGTATGAAACACTTGCAATATACCTATGAAATACCTAAAACATTTGAAACGTACGTTTGCAACATGCGTTTTTAACACAAAATCTATTTGCTGCTTTGGAGAAATGGAGGCTCGCCGGCGTGTGAAGTTCATCGGTGTAGAGCTCGCCGGTGGCGCGATAGTCATCGAGCACGGCGCCCGGAGCAGAGCCGCCCTCCGTTTCTTCGACCCCGGCGATGGAGCTTCGTGTTGTCGGCGTACCGACCAAGAGACACCGCAGCCTTGGAGAGGACCGGGCAGGGGGCAGTTGCGAACCGGCAGAGGGCGCGATGGGGCGGCGGCCGGAGCGGAGTTACCCTCCATTTCTTCGAGCCCGGCGATGGAACTTCGCGTCGTCGGCGGATCGGCCAGGGGACACCGCGACCTTGGAGCGGACTTGGCAGGGGGCAGCTGGGGACCGGCCAGGGAGGCGCGATGGGGTGGCGGCCGGCCTCGGGGCACCGCCAACGGGGCGCATTACGAACTCCAGGCCGGAGGCGCTGCGCGAGGCTGGCGGCCAGCGGAGGAACCCCGCTGTTGTGGCATTGCAGAGCGCGGTCGCGGTGGGGCACGATTGTGGCGCTACGGTGGAGAGCCTTACGAAGAATGGAGATAGGAGGATATGGTTAGAGACAAGTAAACAAGAAAGATATGACTGTTGAGCTGTTAGGCTGGTGCTGCGGGCCACAAACACAATGGTCTAGACGATCGGACGCCCTAACCAAAGTATTATTGTAATTTGGTTGTCATCGCACCATTATGGCCTGTCGATATGGAAGCGCTGGAACGAATGCTGCATTGGCACGGCTAGCCGTCGCCTGTCGTCGCTTTTCGCAAGTCAAGAAAGGAAGGTTCACGTACGTACGCATGCCGAATCACGGTACCTACTAATAATCATGGCACACACATTACACAGTATGTAGATGGATTCAACAATGTGGGTGCATGCTTGTTGATGACCAGAGGATCGACTCATGCGCCGCGTGGTGATGTCTCCATCACGCTAGCTAGCCACCTAGTTACAGAGTCTAAAATTTTGGAAAAAAATCAGAGCACACTACAAACCTAAATAAAATATTTAGAGCTCGTGAAAAATATCTCGAGAACCTTTTCAGAATTTTGCATATTCGAGAAAAAAAAGCCTGAAGATTCTCAAAACTTTGTAATTGATGTGTACAAATACATTTTTAAAAAGTTCTACAACAAAATTGTGAGATGAAGAAGCTTGAAGTTCACGGGTGAAGGCCTTGAAAATCACTTTTTTTTTAGGAAAAAAAGGCCTCGAAAATCACTTGTAACACGGTCGCCATGGCCTCGCCTCTGTGACATCGCACAATGGGCCGCTTGTCCGCCCAAGTAGTAGGTACGTATGGCCCGTGTGGTAGGTAGGCATGGCCCGTGTGGCGATAAATGAACCCACGGGCCCAGCTACTCTCGGCCCACACGTTCGTGGTCAGCAAGGACGCCGCGTCACCTTCCCTCCCAGACTAAGACCAGACAACGAACGCCGCAGTTATTCCAACTCCTTTCTACTCTGTACCCGCCACCTCTCCCCGTCTCCGGCGAGGCGACGCCGACGGTCGACCGATGATACTCCGCCGCCTGCATGGCCGCGTATCCCGCCTATCCCTCGCGTCCGCCGCCCTCCTCGATGCGGCGCCGCGCGCCTTGCCTTCCGCGGGCCTCTTCCGTGGCTTCCACGGCGCGGCGGGGGACGGCGCCTCCTCGGAGCACGGCCGCAAACCCGCAGGTACCTCGTCCTCGTCATACTCCTCCACCTCTGCTGATCGATAGCTCGATCGGTTCCGAATTTCATACGAGGACGGACGCCCGGACTAGTGGGTTCAAGTCGCAGCTGCATTTCATGGAATTCAAATCCGCCACTGCGGCGTTTCATGTGCGCTTGCAGTCAGATATGATATGCCACTCTGTTCATCAGAACTAACATCTAAGCTAACCAGTCCTGTGAACCTGTGATACCTCCCCTCTGAAAAAAACCCTGCACCTGTCTGTGGTATTGAACATGCAAAAGATGCAGCAATCTGTTGTCTGAACATGATGATACAGTGATAATTCTCATTGCTCAAATTTCGTCATAACATCATCCCCTCTCTCCAATTTCGGCCTCTCATACTCGTGTTCTATCTGAAGGTCCTCTTACGCTCTACAGGAATCTAGTAAGCCAAGGGAAGCTCACACATGATAGTTACCAGGAAAATGTAGCTTCTGAATTAGACAACTTAGTTAGCAGGCTTCAACAGTACGAGATGGAAATGGAGGATTATCATGTAAGTTGTGCATCGCTTCTTCTCAGTTGTCAGTACCTCGCTGTGCTTGTTCACTGAGAAACCTATATGTATGCAGAACAAGCTATACATCTGGGAGAATAGCAGGGAGAAAGAGCGGCGAAGGCTTCTTGTCGAAGAAGCTGAAGATAAGCAGCATGATGGTGTATGGATAGACGAGAAAAGGGGATTTCTTGACAAGTTGGTTACACGGTAATAGTTAGTCTCCTTCCTCAAAATTATGCATTGTTTATAGAACCATTTAGCATACTTAAGTGGGATGTCTTTTGGCGTCACAGTGCATGTATCTCATAATAGTTTCAGTATAGCACTGTGAACTTCTGTTATGTTGAAACCATCCATGGATGGAGCACTGCTATTACTCCTCAACTCCTGCAATAATATTAACAGCTAAATATGCATAACAATACATCTAAGCATGCCAGATTTTAGTTGCTTTATACAAGAAATGGACTATGGTGGGTTTTTTCTAACCTGTATGTTGTTGATTAAACCCAGGAGAAGAAGAGGAAACATAGAACCTGGAGTAGGTAAGTGGGTCTCGTACCTGAACCGAGAGAAGAAACTAGATACATTGGTAGGCCATAGACCAGTCGCTCCTGTTGCTCCTAAAGGATTGTATCTCTATGGAAATGTTGGAAGTGGTAAGCTACCTGATTCTTGCACATGCTCAAAAGAAGCAATTTCTAGCCTTATTGGTTCCATGCTGTCCATTAGTTTTTTCAGCTGGCCTAAAAATTAGGGGTAAAATGCTTCTATTGGGCCATTGTCCTACATTTATGAACCTAACGTGAGCAAGTAACCGTGCTGATATTTTATGTTTTCTGAAATATTATTCTGTCACTTGTACTAATCTCAAGGCACAACCTGTACATAGGGAAGACAATGTTGATGGACATGTTCTATGGGGCCACTGAAGGTGTCATCAAACACAGGAGGAGGTTCCACTTTCATGAGGTAAATTCTCTGCTATTTACAAATACCAATGACTGTTCAGTCATTCAGTTGTAATCTGATTTAGCTATTGTACCTGAAGATCAATTTATTTGATTGAAGATGGCTAGCAATAGTAGATTGATACTGTCTCAACTGTATCTGTTAGCTGTTGTGGTAGCATACTCGGGCACACGCACATCTGTTTGAACTCATTTACACAGGTGTGGCTTGGCAAGTTGGCATTAACATAACACTATAAAATAACCTTTTGTTATCTTATTTAATTGTGGCCTTGTTGCCAAGGATTTGCATAAGACTAGAGTACCCTTTGATGCAGGCCATGCTTGAAATACACGATCATATGCATGATGTATGGAAGAGACGTGATGATGATAAATCTATTCACTCAAGTGCTTTCAGTTGGATATCAAGCCTTCCCTTTGATGTGAAAATTAAGGAGTGGTTGATTGGCGAAGAGAAGTACAAACAACAGACACAGGAAAAGCACATCCTTTTGGCAGTTGCTGACAAGTTTTTGGTTGATAGACAGGCAAATAAAACTGGAGCAAGCATTCTATGCTTTGATGAGATACAGGTACCTAAATTTTGAAGTGTCAAGGATTGAAGCCTTTCTGCCTTCTTTTCATCCTGACCTGACAAAGAGGATTGGCATTTCTTAGCACGTAACAGCTGCTTATTGGATTACTTTTAAAACTGGGGACATAAGAAAATTGAAGACTGGTGTTGGTAAATAGCATTGATTAGTTCCACCACCATGACCTAGCATACTATTTTAATTTCATCCTGTCTATAAGTTTTAATGAAGTTAACGTGTTACTGGAAAATTCTTTTGAATCAGCATTACTGGAACTTTTTACACCTAATCTTTATATCTTGTTGAATCTGACAAGAATTGAAGTTAACTAAGCTCTATTTTATCTATACTCTTGCATATACATCTTTGTACTTACTGCTTTATTATGATTTATTAAGCTTTTAGAATTGTCATAGTTAATTAAATATGCTCTGCAACGTAGTGTTTTTAGTACACTGAGCAGGTGCATTTTTGTAGACTATCGATGTTTTTGCAGTTGTAGCACTTTCTGGCATTCTAAGCAGGTTGTTAAGCACAGGGACAGTACTTGTAGCAACCAGTAATAAAGCACCAGAAGATCTGAATCAGGCAGGTCCTTCTTAACGTCTTTTTTTTGTTTTCTTTCTAATTTATGGATTAGATGTGTTATCATTTTCTCACAACCTTTACAAGTTAAAATACCTAGTACCGTATTATGATCATCTCATTCTTTTCTCTGTTGATTTGTAGGATGGGATGCAAAGGGACATCTTCCTTGAGTTATTATCAAAATTGGATGAAAACTGCAATAAGATTCTTGTGGGTACTGAAAAGGATTATCGCCGCCTAATTCCAACAGAAGGCTCAACTGAGGTTTACTTCACATTTTTTTATTTACTCTAAGAAATTTGGTTAGGAGCATTAGTATTCAATTTAAGAGGATGTGGGTACCTGGATGAATCCCATGAATTGACCCCTGGTGGATGACGGGATGACATAGCGTGTTAACAAATTGTATAACAATGTAGGAGATTTATGACACTTGGCCTGTACAAATTTGCTGCATTTTTTCCCCATGGAGATAAACCTTGTGGTTATCCTGGTCCTTGAGAAATAAGACTATATTGATCTCTAGTCTTTATGATGATAACATAAGTTCAGATCCTGGTATAAAGTTAAAGTTATTAAGCTACACACTATGATCCTTATGTGATCTATTTTGCATTTATATATCTTGACATAAACTTGTTAGATATATCCTCTTCTAAGCACCTGCAGATTTACTCACTATCCGCTGTATTTATTATTCCCTGTATTACCTGTCATATTATGTTTATAATCTTGATCTAACTACATACCTTCGATATTGTTGGCAGGTTCACTATTTTTGGCCTGCCACTTCTGACGCTCGAAGCATGTATGAGGCTATGTGGCATGACATAACTAACCAATCAGGAGGAAATATTATTTCTGTCACCATTCCTGTAATGTTTGGGAGGTATGTCCATTTGATAAAGCATCTCTGCACCAGTGGAAATAAAAACTAAATGAACTTCAGTCGCATGTTGACAGGTCTATTGAGATTCCTCAAAGCTGTAACGGTGTCGCAAGGTTTGACTTCGAGTATCTATGCGGTCGCCCAGTAATATCTCAATCTCATTTCATATCTGTCTATAATTCAAGTTAGATGGAAAGAAAAAATTATTACTGCAGAATAGCTGATATTATTACTTCCACAATAGCTGATGTTAGACAAATACATAAACTTATATTTCCCAATAGTAGCTCCTTTTTATTATATCTGAGAGCGTAGTAGCTCTTTCGCTAATGCATTGATCGCCCCTATACTAAATTTTCAGGTCGGAGCTGCAGATTATATAGCAATAGCTAGGAACTACCATACAATTTTCATATCAGAAATTCCAGCTATGAGTATGAAGATCCGTGACAAGGTATTTCTTCACGTGCTGTTTTTTCTGTTTCTTTCAGTCTGTTTGGGCAGAGAAAATAGGTGGAAGGGAACAGGAATGTAGCAGTCAGGACTGGAGCCTATCAGCCTATAGAAGTATAGCAAATGAAATATGTTCTCAAGAAATAAGATACAAAGTAAAAATATGATTTTGAAGTGCTGAAGAGCAAGGATCTCTAGAAGGATGTAGCAAACTAGCAAAGCAAGACAGTAATATTTTGGATAGAAAGATGGAGATGACATGTTGATTGAGTTGGAGAGCTTTACAAATATATCGCAAATTAGGAAAGAGAAAAGGTCCGTTTGTTAAATTTTTAGATAGCTATCTGAATTGATGGGCAGTAAGCATTAGTTAGTTGTTACTCTCTACCTTTCTGAAATAGTTTGTTTTCCCTCTGTTGCTAATATCATGACTCATTTAGGCAAGAAGGTTTATCACTCTTATCGATGAGTTGTACAACCATCACTGCCGCCTTATATGCCTAGCTGCCTCATCCATTGATGATCTTTTCCAAGGAACTGAGGAAGGACCTCTTTTTGATTTAGAGAGGTAACTCGATAACCCTTTCCTGATCATTTAAGGCTGTTTTTTCAAACGCTATGAACTGAAAATATGTCTCAGTGAGCTTTGTCATATATGCTGGTTCTGCCATGGGTTGTGGAGAAAATGCTTCTTTCCTTTTCTTTTGTTTAAAGCAAAGGCAGAGGATCTGCCATCCATTAAAGATGAGAAGAGTTTACAACAATTACAAAGGCCTAAAGCAAAATACCATGACAAAAGAGATTAATTGATTGTTAGGGGATAATGTTTCTGGTCGTCTACAATGGAATGTAGAAATCTGAATCTGAATTGCACATGAATTGAGAGTGAATTGAATGGTCATGCTATGCAGTTTTCAGTTCGAAACCGAGTCCGAAGGGACAAAGCTGAGGAGGGATGTTTTAGCGGGAGGCAATGTTGGCTCAGGACCATCTACGACTGGCCTTGTGGCAATATTGTCTGGCCAAGAAGAGATGTTTGCGTTCCGCAGAGCGGTATGTACCGGACCTTGTTATCATTGTTATGTAGTACGAAATGGTTGCTGCTTGCCTCCGATGATTCATTAGTGCTGATGAAGTTATGTTGGACTAGGGTCGTTGAGAAAGCCGTGTTATTATCGGCATATGCTTATTTCCTCTAGCCTTTGTGACCGGAAACAAGATGCAGCAGACATCCACTTTTACTGGTTTTATACTTTTATACTTGCGTTAATTGTGAGGCACACCTTGTTTTGCAGATATCGCGGCTTATCGAGATGCAGACCCCGCTGTATCTGGAGCGCGTGCAGGATGTACATCCCTCATTCCGACAGCAGCCTCCTCCTGGTCTTGTAAGCAATAGGAGTGTAGTTCCTCAGCCTGCTCCGGCGGTTTGACAACCTCGATGTACCATTGCTTTATTTCAAATTTCGTGTGAGAAGGCAATAAAACCTACCAGAGATGGTAACAGTGAGACATTGTAAATGATAATAGAAATGTTGTGATTTATAATAAGTCAAAATTTGCCGTTTCCTAGGTGTGAGGCATTTGCTTCCGTTGAATGATGCATTTTCTGTTCAAAGTAAGATGAGAAGATCCAATCAGGAAACCGTTTTACATACCCTCTCCGTTCCAAATTATAGCTCACTCTAGTTTTATCCAAGTTTATAGAAAAATATATCGACACTTATACTGTAAAATTAATTTCATTAACCTGTCATTGAAACATTGCGTTTATTAAAACATGTAAATTTCAATATATTTTGCTTAAAATCTTTTCTTGAAATATTGCACTTATTTGAACCTGTAAATGTTAACATATTTTTCCCTGAAAACTTAGTCATCAAATTAAAAAGCTGACTATACTAATGGACTAGGATTTATTTATTTTTTTTTGGGAAAAAATGGACTAGGAATTTGTACGTACGGCTACCACAAATGAGAAGACACGCTGTCAGTTCTGCTTGCTTTGTCGCACGCACCTGATTGGCCCAGCAGCCCCTCCCACGGATCGTCCCTCCGAAGCCGCAACCACCCCCATCCAACCGTCCATTCCCCTGCCGATCGAACCGTCCATTGGCCTCGCACGCGGATCGACGGGCCCACCACACGGATTCCCCCCCTCTCCCTCCCCGCACGCGCGCGGTTTAAAAGCATCCCGCCGCGCTTCGCATTTGGCATCCACACACATCGCCTCTCAGCTCCCAAGCTCTCTTGATCTCGAAGCGCAGCAGCAGCACCGTTACCAGCCAGGCGGCCATGGACGTGAGCGGAGCAGGAGCCGGCGGGAAGGCGAAGAAGGGCGCGGCGGGGCGCAAGGCCGGCGGGCCGAGGAAGAAGTCGGTGTCGCGGTCCGTCAAGGCCGGGCTGCAGTTCCCCGTCGGCCGCATCGGGCGCTACCTCAAGAAGGGCCGGTACGCGCAGCGCGTCGGCACGGGCGCCCCCGTCTACCTCGCCGCCGTCCTCGAGTACCTCGCCGCCGAGGTGCTGGAGCTCGCCGGCAACGCGGCCAGGGACAACAAGAAGACGCGCATCATCCCGCGCCACGTGCTCCTGGCTATCCGCAACGACGAGGAGCTCGGCAAGTTGCTGGCCGGCGTCACCATCGCCCACGGCGGCGTCCTCCCCAACATCCACTCTGTGCTCCTCCCCAAGAAGGTGGCCGAGAAGGCGGCCAAGGAGCCCAAGTCGCCCAAGAAGGCCGCCAAGTCCCCCAAGAAGGCATAGAGTGCTCTCCTCTCTTGGAGGGAGGCTCCTCCATTAGACCATTACCATTAGCACTGTGTTGTTAGATTAGATCATGTTTAGTGTACCTCTGTAACGTTCTTGTACTTGCTGCTAACTGGAATGGTTTATCTTGTATTAGTACATCTGTGCATTTTCGTTGGTTGGAACAAGATTTCAGAGACCAGAGTTTGCTACTTGCAAAAAGTGTTCTCAACTTCTATCTTTGGTTTTGTTTCTTGTCCACATTTGCAATTTGAGTGCATTAATCAATCTAGTATGAGATGGAAATCGAGGATTATCATGTAATTAAGTTGCGTTGCATGTTAGCATCTTGTTTCTGTCCATTTAATGAACTATAGGCTTCTTTTTGACGAAACTGAAGAGTGAAGATAAGGAAAAGGGGATTTCTTGTGGGTACTAGTTAGCTTACTTCCTCTAGAGCCATCTGATCCTCCAGGTTATTAGTCCTATTTATCAACTCCTGTAAGAACATTGACAGCTAAATGCATTACAATATAACTCAATTATGTAGAATTTTAGTTGCTCTATGCATGAACTGGACTATGCTGGATTTTTTCTAACCTGTATTTTGTTGATTAAACCCAGGAGAAGAAGAGGAAAACCTGGATTTGGTAAATGGGGTCTCATACCTGAACCGAGAGATGAAACTAGATGCAATGGTAACTAGAGACCAGTTGCTCCTCATGGATTGTATCTCTATGGAAAAAAATGTTGGAAATGATAAACTACCTGATCGTTTTACATGCAACATGCACAAAAGAATCAGCCTCTAGTCTGGTTGGATCCATTCTGCTTATTAGTTTTCCAGCTGGCCTGAAAATGACAGGCAAAGCTTCTATTGGTCCATTGCACTACATTTTTTTTTATGAAAACTACCGTGAGCAAGTGACCGTTCTAATGTTTTACACTATTCCGTCACTTGTACTGATCTCAAGGCACAACTTGTACACCGGGAAGACAATGGAGCCACTGAAAGTGTTATCAAACACAACTCAGGAGAAGGGTTCGCTTTCATGATGTAAACTGTTTAGAAATACCTATGACTGTCAATCATCCAGTCTTAGTTGTGATCTTAAATAGCAGTGGATTACTCTTTGATGCAGGGCATTCTTGAAATAGACGATCATATGCATGACGTACGGAAGAGACATCATGACCAAAATCTATCTTTCAGTTGAATATCAAGCCTCCCTTTTGATTTGAGAATTAAGGAGTGGATGATTGGGGAAGAGAAGTACAAACAAGACACAGAAAAAACATATCCTTTTGGCTGTTGCTTGCCAGTTTTTGGTTGATAGACCGGCAAATAAAACTGCAACAAGCATTCTATGCTTTGATGAGATACAGATATTAAGACATTGAAATGTCAAGGATCAAAGTCTTTTTGCTTTATTTTCATCCTGACCTGACAAGGAGGATTGGCATTTCTTTCAAAGCACTTAGCAGCTTGCTTATTGGATTACATCGAAAACTGAGGAAACAAAATATTAATAATGGTTTTTTATAAAGATTAAAAATGGTGTTAGTCAATAACATTGGTTAGTTCCACCAACATGACCTAGCATAATATTAACTTCAATGTGTTAAGTTTTCATGAAGTTAATGCTTTAATCGAACTTTGTACATCCTAATCTTGATATCACGCTGAATCTGAGGAGAATTGAAGTTAACTAAGCTCTATTTTATTTAAACTCTTGCGTACATTTTGTACTTACTGCTTTTATCATAACTTATTAAGCTTGTGGAACTTGTCATTGTTAACTAAATATGCTGTGCAACTTAGTGCCTTTTTATACACCGAGCAAAGTTTATTTTTGCAAGTATTTATGTTTTTGAGTTGTGGCCCTGTCTGGCACTCTAAGCAGATTGTTAAGCACAGGGACAGTACTTGTAGCAACCAGTAATAAAGCACCTGAAGATATGAATCAGGCGTACCCTTCTTCAAGTGTTGTTTTTTAGTTTTCCTTATTTTAGTTTAAGGATTAGATGTATATCATTTTCTCGCAACCTTTAAAAGTTGAAATACCATAGCACTGCATTATGATTTTTAGTTTTTTTCTCTGCTGGTTCTTTAGGATGGGAATGGGATGCAGTAGGATATCTTTTTTGTAAGAGAACCGCGTTGCAATAGGACATCTTCCCTGAGTTATTGTCAAAATTGGATAGAAACTCCCTTTCAAAAAAAGGACAGAAACTGCAATAAGATTCTTGTGGGCACTGAAAAGGATTTTCACTGCTTAATTCCAACAGAAGGCTCAACTCAGGTTTTATTCTTTTTTTTTACTCTTCGAAATTTTGTCAGGAGCATTAGCAATCAATTAAGGAGGAGCTGCATAATCCTGCTGTATTTGGATTCGCTGAGTATCAAGCTGATGGTTATCCTGGTCCGTAAGAATATGTTGATCTCTAGCTTGGGTGGTGATCACATAAGTTCAGATCCAGGTATACAGTTAAAGTTATTAAGCTACACACTGTGAGTGTGAGCCTTATATGATCTGTTTTGCATTCATATATTTTGACATAAACTAGTTAGATATATCCTCTTCTAATCACCTGCAGATTTACTCACTATCCGTTGTATTTATTATTCCCTGTATTATCTGTCATGTTATGTTTATCTTGATCTAAGTACATACCTTCTAAATTGTTGGCAGGTTCACTATTTTTGGCCTGTCACTTCTGACGCCGCAGCATGTATGAGGCTATGTGGCATGACATAACTAACCAGTCAGGAGGAAATATTATTTCTGTCACCATTCCTGTAATGTTTGGGAGGTCTGTACCAGTGAAAATAAAAACTAGATGAACTTTAGTCGCATGTTGACAGGTCTATTGTGATTCCTCAAATCTGTAATGTCAGTAATATATCTCACTCTCTCATTTCATATCTGTCTAGAATTCAAGACATATGGGGGGAAAATACAAAGCTATTATTGCATACAAGTTGGCAACATGAGATAGCGTCTTTGTTTTGGAAACCTCCTTTACTCTTAAACTTTGAACTGTAGCTGATGTCAGACAATGCATAAACTTATATTTACCAATAGTAGCTACTTTTTATTATCTCTGAGAGCATAGTAGCTCTTTTACTAATGCATTGGCCACCCCCCTATACTTAATTTTCAGGTCGGAGCTGCATATCATATAACAACAATAGCTAGGAGCTACCATACAAATTTCATATCAGAATTTCCAGCTGCATATTATGCTAGGTTGCGGGGACCTTGATCGCTTCTATGGATCTCTTCGTTCTCCTCCTGGCGGTCCTCCCCCTTTGAGGCTTCCTTCCCCCAAATGGTGTTGGTGGACGTCGGTTGGAGACCAGATGTGCTCTTAGGTGATGCTACTCACGGCTGCGAAGAGGAAGTAAAGCTGGCTCGACTCAATGCCTCACAGGCTTCCTAGAATGTTGGTCTGACATGCTGACCCAACTCAATATCTTACAGCTACATGTGGGCTAGAGTTCTTCAGAATACGTCTTTGATGGTGGCACATGTTAGCAAGTACTGATTGCACTCGCTTTGGTCCGTAGGCAGAGCTGATAGCTGAATCATGTTGTGTTTGTTAAGTGTTGTAATTCTACTCTCTCCCCCTCTTTGAACTCACTGTAATCGGATTGGCTTCATGCCCTTCCACCCCTGGCAAACCA